TCGAAACATCAAGAATGGTACAGTCGTTGATCGTGGAGTTACTCTAGCGACTATATGGGACTTTTACTTGACTGCCCATAAAGGACTACAAGGTATGTTCCGTTCTCTATCATACTACTATGTTCGGCCTAACTGACTCTCCACATCAGGAACTTCGCGACCGGCGCATTATACTGTGCTGTATGATGAAGTGTTTCGAGCCTTGTCACGAGATCAAGCAGCCAATCAGCTTGAAAAGCTGACCTACGAGATGTGTCATTTGTTTGGGCGAGCTACCAAGGCTGTCAGCATCTGCCCAGCTGCATACTACGCAGACATTCTCTGCACTCGTGGGCGAGTGTATCTTTCGGACCTGTTTGAGGGCTCGGACACGCGGTCCGTAACATCTGATTCAACGATTCAAGATCCCATGTCTATTGACGTGCACGCAAGTATTCGAAACACGATGTTTTACCTCTGATGAAAGCCTAGCAAGGCTGGAGACATGTACGATGTTTTTGATGGCAATACGAAACTAGTCATGAGTGCCAATGCGTAGAATATGGAGACTCGGGGTTCATGGACAGAGAAAAAGAAAGTTACGGTATTTGAAACAGAAATGAAGCGTGTAATAAGTAGTATGATATTCCTGAGAAGGCCATAGCGCGAGCGATCTATCTACAGCACCCTTTTTTTCTGAGCAGCACGTGGTTTACGTAGAATAGGCTCCATCTCCATGGCATGGTGATGGTTCAGTCTAATGAACTCATGACTTTACCATATGCCTCGTTTCCCCATCAACTTCAGAGATGCCGCTTCAACAAGTGTCGAGTGGTAATGCGGTGCACATTGGCACAATTCAAGCAGTGTTCACGCTCCTTGAGCCTTAAGTAGGTGGTATATGACATTACTGAGGTCCTAAGGTACAAGTATAACATGTCGTTATGATGTGATCTGTGTACGCGGCGCCTATCAGGACCCTGTGTGTGCGTCTACCATGACATACTATCCTTCGATTCCTCGGCACCTTGCATTTTGATATGTTGATGCTTAGCTTCCATTCGAATTAGTACTTGTCCAGGGACGGTAACATGAGATTCGCGTATTCTGTGTTGTAGTATACTTCTATCCCGTGATTCAAAGGGGAGATTTCCTTGGAGCTATTGTACTACAAAAACCGTTACTGGACTGTTACTCTATATTGTGACCCGCCAGTGCCCTACTAGTAATCCAAGTTCGCTCTGGAGACCAAGTCCTCTGACAATGGATTTCATTGTTCTAGGTAACGGGCGTTCCATGAGATGAACCTATTGATTAATAATGCATAGTGAGGAAAATATTTGAGACGTGCATAAATTCAATTTCTCGATGCTATAACTGAGGCCTTATCCAATTCTTCTGTACACAATTCTCAATTCCTGAAGATCTGCCCCCTTATCATGGCTGGCTATCGAGTCGTCACTCGTGACTTTCTTCTCTCATTCAGCAGTCTAATAAAACAGCTTTATGCTGGGGAGCTGTCGCCGTACTATAAAACAGCCGCGAGCGAGCCAAGCGCACGTCTGCAATACATCTCACTTTTCTAGTGCCACAGTCCGTTCCTGTAGTTGCATTCCGTGAGTGGACTGTTGACAATAATAGGTGCTCGCACAATGGAGAGACTATTTTGATTGTATAATTGGACAAGCATATTGTTATAAACTGAGACTTCGATTCTGTTATGTGTGAAAGAACTTGTTGCGGACACACCTAGAGGCTCCAAATAACGTCTACTGTTCTATGAACAATTTCCCCATTGGTTATCAGACAGCAATTGGTAAAATTGTCTATAAGAACTTGCTGATGAATTTCGATACTTCGCAACCACCTTCCTTTCTACAGTTCATTGAGCATTTTGCTTGGCGGTTCTAGACCACATCCAGTCCCTCGAGATGTCAGCGAAAGCTACTAGCGAAACTCCTCCCTCCACCGCTATGCTGGCCAAAGCATCGGGAGGTGGTGGCACAGCCGTCAATGCGGGTGCGGCCCCCAATCTTGCCAATCCTCTTACTCTACAGACTCTGCCTACCGAGATCCTAGCTAACATCGTCTACCAAATGGATCCGGAAGACAAGATAAGAATGGCGTTCAATTTTCCGAACCTGTTCATGAACTCAGGGCGATTTCATGTGTTCATTGATGATGCTCATCGCCAGCTAAACATCAAGACGTGGGTTCCCTTCAAGGAGGAGTTCAAAGCATGTTCACGACCCCTGTTCCAGGATGTTATAGCTTATAGCTATGATTTAGATCAAATTCGCCAAGCACTAGATTTCTACCAAGAAGTCGCTAGTCGCCGCCTCGTTAGCAAGAACGTCTTTTTAGACTCCAACTTTCTGGTTGACACGCCTCAAAGCCTTCCGCCCGTTCTAGTTTCCAGTCCGCAGCCACCCGCTACAGATCCGCCCAGTTCTCCCGAGAGTGAAGGGAGTAAGATCGTGGACCTTCCTTCTAGACGTCAAGTTTTCGGACCCCTCCACATTGCCATCGGATGCCAACGTCTTGACGTGGTCAGGTACCTCCTCGAGCAAGGAGCTAGGCCGGATCATTCGCTATGGGGCGAAGATAGCCCCTTGCGGATGACCTTGTCGTTCATTGTGGGGTGGCCAGAGTATTTTGTTAGGTTTGATCAGAAGAGGAGGGCCGCGCATGCAGAGATTGCTTTTGAGTTGGCAAACCATTGTCCTACTTTTTCTGCATATAGTAGGGACAACCAAGGCAACCAAGGTTTGACACAAGAATTCGACATGGCGCTGATTTCCGGTCTCGAGCCCATAGTCCTCCTTCTTCTTGAAAGAGGCGAAGCTGAGAATGATGAGCTTGACGATCAAGCCAGACAAATAAGACAAGCCGCGAAAGATGCGATGCTAGACCGGATGCTCTATATTCAATTTCCAATACCCCAAGCTCTTAGACTCATGCTTGAGCGTGGTTCGCGTTTCACCCACTCCAGGGCTTTCATCATCGGTACCGCCGGGAGTTTGACGGAGGCGGCACTAGGACGGTTTGGATCAGTCGAGAACGCGCTTGTTGCCTTCAGGTGGGAGATCGAGACGCAGGATCCAACCTTGCTCGCATCTGTGAGAGCACTTACTGCATTAGCAGTCTCGGACTCCAACATTGACATGGTGAAGCGTTTTACCCGAGTGGCGGTCGAGCTAAACTATCGTGAAGCCCAGGAGCGGTTCCTTCTAAATGCAATGCATGCCGGGGAAGACGCTGTCAGGACTCGTGAATGGCTACTCGAGAACACAAGTGCCGGAGACGCCGTTGCCTTGCGGTATGCTATACTCCTCTTCGACACAACCAGTGCAGGATCTATCATACGACGCCTTGTTGACTTGGGGCAAGATATTGATGCGCCACTTCCGTTGAATAGCCATCACTCTCCTACTCCGTCTCCATATGGTTCTTGCGGCTATTGGTACGAGTCAGCGTTGACGTTTGCTCTGTCTAGTCGAAATTACCACGCAGCGGCTCAACTTCTATCGGCTGGCGCGACCCCAGATGTGGTACCCCCAAATGTTCGACATAGGGTCAGGGTTGTAAGGGACAGAATCAACGCAGGTATAATCGATAACCCTGCTTTCTATATTTACAGAGTTGTACTGGAGGACGGGACTGTGCCTGTGCCCATCGGTGCTGAAACAGACAGGACGCTCAACTACGTTTTTGCTCGTATGTTGGACGATCCGAACTTCCCACTACCATATTATGTTCGTCAAACACGTCATCAAGACTTACCAGCCGATCACATCGAGAACGATTCTTCTGACAATGATGATGATCTATGAGAGATCGCTCCATGAAACTGCGAGCATCTAATCCTTCGCTCTACACGCCGAATGCGAGAATACTGACTGCTACCACACTGACTTGTTCCCCCACACTCTTTACTCAACAATCTTCACTCATTGTCAGTTCTGGCCCGAGACCTGACATATCATTTGTGTTATCTTTAGTGAGCACGGCCCCGATAGCCAGGCCAATTAGCCCAAGGGGCTTGAGACCTATGGTATCGGCACGTATGTAGATGTCAAATACATGCTGTGTTAAAATCTAATTTGAGAATCATGACTTCAAAGTGAATGTTTAGACATGGTGTAGTGAGTGAGTAAGGGAGGATATACCCATGGACTCGATGTCTCCATACAACTTGTTTAGAAAGGAAACGTTACACAGCATGAGCATACTAGCATGTGAATAATATGACCTTCCTCGTTTTCGCATAATTTACGTAAGATTGACGGGTATTAGGTAAGCTAGTAAAACGTCCACATGATGGACAAGCTGAGCGCGAGGCGGTATGCTACGCTGACGCCAGCCAGGCTTCTCCTTTAATGCACCTCTGACCTCCGCCGTTTGTAGACACGAGCTAATACCACGCTCCATGCAAGTCAGAGGATATAGGCAATTGGGGGTTCTAGGTTTTACTAAATGCCGACTTAAGTATGCAACGAACTAAGTATGTTTAGCGCATTTGCCGCTTTATCTTAGGCTGGGCTCAGCCAGCTATCAGTTAATTGACTGTGAAACGGAAACTTCCAGGCTTGAAACGATCCCAGCTCTGAGAACGGTTTTAGCCCTTACGGCCTGTTTTAATCCTGTATAGATTGGTCTTTCTTTTTTTTCCTTCTTTTCTTTCCTTTCCTTTGTTATTTTTCTTTCCTTCTTCAAGCTGAATATTTACATAGAAATAAACAGTTATAATCACTGCATCAGACTTTTGTTCTTTTGTTTGTCACATCACACAAGTGCTACCGCTGAACCCTCTTACAAGCGCTCTTACCACAACACTCTTTCCACCCACGCTTCTTCCGACACTTTCCTACTACAACTGCCCCCATCACGCCCAGGCTGGTATTCAAATGAACTTAGGCCCCCGTATATTCATCAGAAAAAGCCATCAGGGTGTCGCTATCTGCTGCCTACCTAGCTTGCACTTTATAAGTTTGTCTAATTGAAAGGCTTCAACAAATCAACCCAGAGTGGTGTAATGGTAGCATCCCTAGTTGACACATGGTAGAACACATGCTAGGAGGTGTATTAAACCATGCCCTTCGGGGGCCAGGGGACCCGGGTTCGATTCCCGGCTTTAGGATAAACTTTTTTTTCTTTTCGAGTTTCTAATCTACAGGCGCAAAAAGGCTTTTGTAGCAAAGGTGGGTGGTTAGGCCTAACAATCTTTAAGAACCTACAAAAGCAAATACCGTTTATCATAAAACGGATTTTCGTGTATATGACAAGATGGTCCGTTTAAGTGATCCGTTTAAGTGACTTCCTAGGAAGTCGCTCGAACACAATAAACGTAACTGTGGGTTATGCTCATGCCAGGCTCAGGTTAAAAGCAGCATGGCTCAGGTTGCATCCTTATTCCGATTTAGGATAGTAAAACCTATCTTAGAGGCTCAATTGAGGTTCCTAAGAGCGTTAGAGGCCCCTAGATTAAGCCGAGCTGACCGGGTATTCGATAGGGGAAGAATCCAGCTATTGCCGTTTCTTACCTTGACCCTTGAGCATGATTGGCTAAATCGTTCGTTGGTGTACTGAGTAAGAATTACAGGTAGTCGCTAATTGAAACCGCAGTTGTGTATTAGTTGTGATTGATAGATCTAAAATACTATTTCCGGAGTCACTGTCGGATTTGGAAACATCGCTCAGGAGGAAAAGCTTGATCGAGGTCTTGGCAGGTGGTGAATATCTACTTATATAACAAGAGCCGAGCTCAAACATCAAGGTCGCATTTGTAGTCATTGATCTGCCCAACTCGTCGACAACGCCCACACCCTGATCTATACGCATCAATCATCACTATGAAGGTCACCGCCAACCTTACCCTCCTCGCCTCCCTAGGCGTAGCTGGGGCTCTCGACCCTACCTGTGCGCCGGGCGGCAACTTCGACCTCAGCCCGTGGGAGCTCCAACTCCCCATCGGCAACGGCTCGCCGCAAATCGTTCCACCAGCTCAACTCGTGGGTTGCAGCGGATATCAAGATCCCGGACACCATTACTTCTTCACGGAGACTAGCGATGGCGCCCTCGTAATGAAGGCGCCGGGTACCCCGTCCAAGACGGGCTGCGTCAAGTTCGCCGAGAGTGACCACGTATGTAACCCCTGGTGTCATTTCTTCCTGTTGTAGCAATGTGCGGGAGCAATTCGTCCCTCTTATGTTGATAAGCATGTTTCGGGAGCATGCAGTGGTCCTCAAATTCCGCCACTGTCACCTGAAAGAGCAATTACTGACTCTAGCGAACTACAGTGTCGCACCGAGCTCGGGGAGAAGGCCACCTGGAGCCCCAACACAGGCACAAACAGACTGTTTGCCGATTTGGTGGGCACGAACGTGCATAACATTTGCATAGGACAGGTCTTCCAAGCGGATAGTGGATACAACAAGCCCTTTGCGGAGCTATACTACTCCAGCGACGGGAAGATCCAGTTTGGCACTGCGAAGGCCGCGGCTGGCGGCGCTGGACAAGATCTACAGTACCTCGGGACGGTGCCGGTGAACACGCGGTTCACGTACGAGATCCGATTTGAAGGCGGTCAGCTGCTGGCGAGGATCAACAACAATGCCTTCACGACCTTGAGGACTTACTTCACTACTCCCAAGGCGTTCTTCAAGGCCGGAAATTACAATCAGGATCTGACAACTACGGAGACTGCTGATCTGCATTTCTTCCAGCTGAAGATTACGCATTAATGAGCTGTTATGCGGGTAGTGAGGAAGAACCAGAATTAGGGACGCCGGCCGGATTCTTAAGCCGGGCCCCTGTATGTCACTACGAGTATCTGTTAGTAACGCCGACTAGTTCAAACTTTCAATTGCCAACTTCTTTCAACGAAACCTTATAATCCTACCTTGCCCATATGGTCACCAATTATAAACTTGGCTTGGTTCTCACTGTTAATCCTAACAGTACCCGGCAGTAGACCTACCGTGTAGCCGGTGACAAAGCCCAGACGATGTAGGTGACCTATTTCGCATTCGCTCATGCAAGCTGCTAGATCTATTAAGTCAGTTAGTACGCGTCACTGACCCCCTATTTCATCTGACTTGAAATGCTCAATTTATGTCGCGGGTGAGAGAAGTTCTACCTGTCCATTCACCAATTCTCACCACATACTAACCCGTATTACTTTACGTAGGTAAAAGTCCAGTAGCTCGGCGGTCAAGGATCTACAAAAGGGGAGCTTAAGCTATGCATAGTCTCTTACTCCCGGCACTAGCGTTCTGAACACTGACTGGGTCTTTTTCAGCTCATCTCACTGTTTCAGTTCCCAAAGTGCATATAACAAGCTTTGCATCAATCGTTAGCCGTATAGCTACCGAAGTATTCGCTGCTACGGTGTCATTCAAGCAGCTATACGCTTGCACACAATAACGCTGCTTATGCACTATTGTGTCCTTGTTCCTCTGGGAATCTTCATTACGCGTATGCCAACAGTCGAATATAGAGACGCTGAAGGATGGAAAGTCAGATGTGGTTGCTTTCCTAGCCCTCCATTCTACCCTGATGGTAGCATCTAAGGTGTACTACTCGGTGAACGAATTTCCCTGATCAGGTATACGAGAAGATATGAGGTAGTATATAAAAGCGGCAGAAAAATCTGGCGCTTGAAGGATTGGTTGAGTTTAATTTCAGGGATGAGCTGCGATGCCCTTGGGGGCCTAATCCGACATCTTGGCTGAGATGGCTTCATAATGATAAGCTGCGTGAAAAAGGAGCTCCATACGTTCCACATGAATGGCAGCGGAAGAGGGATTTTAAAACTTGGACAGCTCGTGCTGCAGGTCTAGAGAGGCTCTTTCAGATGACGCGTTATCTCCAACACCCATCGGAAGAGCACATATCCTCGCTTCAAGCTAATATATCGTCGTCAAGATGCACTTTCTCAGCCTGACCATATTTGCGCTGCTTACCTCCGCCGGGAGAGTGCCTCGAACACCGCATGCCATCTCGTCGAGCAAGAGTGTGTTCGGAAACATCTTGTCCACCTGTCCAGTAGGGTACGAGGTCTGCGAGTTCAGCTGCAGTCGTATCGGAGACAATTGCTGCAACGACGGCACAGGCACATCGTGTGATGCTGGTTACTATTGCATACCCGACTCATGCTGTCCCGACGGCGAAACTGTGAGTTGATCTAGTCGTCCAGCTTGAGCCCCTTTTATCCCCTCCTAGGCCCGACCATCTTGCTGCCTAAGCTAGCGATATTCACATACACTTCTCGATGGAACAGGTCTTTCTCTCTTCTTCCTCACTTACCTTTACCCATGTTATAGTGCACCACAGAGGCCAGCCAAGGTCCATGCGAGTCGCCGAAAGTGCCTTGCGGCGACGGTTGTATGCCGGCGACGGGTACCTGCTGCAGCAGCGAAAAGTATTACTGCCCTGACTTCGGCATTTGCACAACAGACGGTACATGCTGCGACCTCGGGGATGTATGCGAGAACAGCGACAGCAGTATAGCCGCTTCTCCGACATTTGGGAGTCCGTCTATCTCATCACCCACGAGCTCAGGCAATAGCACCAGCTATACTAGCTCCGTAACGTCTGCACCCACATCGACGAAATATACCAGCACCTCTCCTACCTCGACAGCAGCAGCGGAGTCCACGGGTGGTGGTTTCGGCTTTGGCATCCCTGGAGCCGCTATGAGCGGTAGTAGTAAGAGTGATGATTCTTCTCAAACTGCGCAGCACTCTGTTACCGTTACTTTCATTGCCACACCTACCGCCACTGCTGCTACTACGACGACTCGCTCCATCTCGTCGATTGCCGGCCAAGGTGACGGCCATCGAACGGCTAATGGTCGAATTATAGCCGGCTTCGCGGTTTTGGCTGCACTGCTGGTTCAACACTGGTAACTAGGGATCAGACAGAAGAATATCTTCCATCTCGCCGAGTTGGATATTTATTGATCAAAAGCGTCAATATGGGCTCGCATGTGATTGTCTTAATAGGATAGGCCATGTGCTCGTGTTCTGGTTCGCTAGGAACATGGATTAATTAGAACTTCAGTGTACAATATAATTAAAATAGTTTATATTTCTCGAGGCATAGCACCACGCCGACAAGGAGATCCTGGATCTTAGCTCAATTACGATCCATTTACAGGATGCAGGCTCACCTCGTCTTGCGTGGGGTGTCATGAAGCTCAATCTCATTAGAGAGAAAAAAAGGGTCAGGATGAACAAGCACTACTCATATGAATTCCCATTACCCCGGAAAGTGCTCCTTGGGGATACTGTGTAGCGAAAGCCCCATATATTCGTTGTGACGTCACTACGTCATCACCCGACCTCTACTGCTAGAGCTAGCTGTAGCTACATCATTCCCTGAGGCGAACTGAACCAAACGAATACCTAATCAACAACATTATCAATTAGCCTACACTACGATTGAAGAATACGATTACTCTGGCCTAAGCAGCTAATCCTCATCCGAAGAGCAAAAGATCGATACGCACACGGGATAAACCTGCTTCCAACTATTCGACAACGCCTAGGAACCTTCCCTCGCACACAATCAGCTTCTGACCTACCTCATACCCTTATAACAACACGAGAAACTCAATCCCAAAAGAACATGATGTCCGGCCTCCGCACCTCCATCTTCAGAAGCGCCCGCATCCTCCCGAGCCGCACGAGCCGGCTGCTGCACCAGACGGCCGTGAGCCGGCTGCCGTACAAGGATGACATGGACCGGGAGTCGCTGAAGCCCAAGGCGCACGAGTACACGCAGAGCGGCACGGACGACGAGACGGCGGCGGCGCACGGCGACGCCGCCTTCAACCCGGACAAGACGTCGCCCGAGCACGAGCGCGACACGGCCGCCGAGGGCGCCGCCCAGCAGGGCAAGCAGAACCCGCTGCAGTCGAGCCCGGCCGACCACGACTTCGCCAAGGGCGGGCGCCAGGGCGCCGAGGCCAACCAGTCGCAGTACGGCCAGGCGAAGAGGAGCGGTGGCGGAGATGCGCCCAAGGCGGGCAAGGTGAATTGAGATGGTGGGTGCCCTGTGCGGTTGATTGAGGCGCGAGGAAGGAGCAATTAGCCTCAAAATGTGTATGCATGTTAAGGCGTAAGGGAGAAACAGAGT